GTCCTGGTGCCGGCCGGGGAGGGGCCTCCCGGCTGGAAATACCCGGTGGTGCGGGGGCCTGGCAGGGGGTACGGCTGGGGGAGGGCCTGGGCATGGCCCCTCCGGGCGCTGCTCCGGGCCAGGCCTCCCAGTCTCGGCCAGGGGTGTTTCTGCCGCATCGCTGAGGGCGGAATCCTTTGCAGGGCCGGGTAAGTGCGGCGCCGTGTAGTGTTACGCTGGTTGTGTTGTAATGGAGGTGGCTTTTTTTGTTGTTTGTTTGTTTTTAAATGAAACTTGAGCAAAAATCCGGTTTGTCTTCGGTTCTGATGTGTTGTGTGGCTCCTGTTTGCAGAGTACCGTCCATGACTTGGCAGCCCTCCGTGCCACTCCAGAGGACATAGTGAGTTTAATATCTCGTCACTGTTCCTTTTTCGTAGCCAGGAGGTTTTAGCTGGTTATACGGCATCAGTGTTTACCCTACTTAGGAGGATGTTTTCTGCCCATCTCCCTTTTTCAAGCTTCTGAAAATACTGGCTCTTTGTGCTTTGGTTCTTTGTTTATGGTATCATGCCTCCCTAGCTCTAGCAGTTGGTGTTTCTCAGTTTTCTCTTTCCATTAGAAAGCAGTAGCCATAGTTTTTATTTCAATAAAGTGTAAGTCATCATAAAAGCACACAAAAAAAACAACCCATATAAAAAACTCTGAAGTGGTTGAAGTTAAATCGTATCTGTGCTGGAAGGACTGAAAGTTGTGCTTTATTTTAGGAATCCCTCTAGTTCTGAGGATACTCAATTTTCATTTAAACGATTTAACATAGTTTCTTTATACTGAACAACCTGTTCATTACAAAATACTTGATTTCCATTTCGTTTTTCTTGGTAGCACTGGTTACTAGGATAGAATAGGCAGTATGCACTGGTTTTGCTTATAATTTTTGACAGGTTTGCCAGGACAGATGGACACAATAGCAGAGAGACTTGATCCTATAAATGGCTGACGTGATAGCTTCCAGACACTTTAGCAAGCACTTTGCAGGATTAATTTGTTTATTTTGTACTTAAACTGAATATCTGTCTATCTCGTTGCTAGAAGAAGAGAGAGAATATCTTGGGTAACTGACTGTTAAATCAGGAAAATGCATTATGTCTTTTTATGTGTATTATAGGTAGTAGGGTTTTGTTTTTTCCTCTCTTTAGAGCTGAGAAAGCTCTTACTGAGTCAGTGGTGTTGAGCAGATGGAAACTGAGACTCTCCTCACCTGTAGAGTGCTTAAATTTTGGTTGGTATTAATGGCATTTTACACTTCTGGATTTATCCGAGACTGTCATTGGTACTACCATGAACTTAAATATTATTCAGTGCATGAATGATAAAATCAAAGAGAGCTTGTTAGCATTACCCTGCACATTTTTATTTCGGTTGCCCCTTGATTTTGAAGCGGATTCTTTTGTGTTTACGTAGCTGCGCCGCCATGAAATACACAAGTCAAAAAACAAAGCACTGGCACATCTGGAACTGCAGGAGAAGGCACTGAAAAGAAAATGGAGGAAGCAAAAACAACTGTCTCCTGATGCCTTGGAAGAAAGGAAGTTGACTCTGATGCGTGAGGTGAGAGCTAAATTTTCACTCTCAGCCTGCTGCAGATGATTTGCAGCAGTAGTGGAAACCTCCTCTTGCACACAGGTCAACATCTACTCCTCTTTTTGGATAATTTGAATTCATATATGCGTACACATTCCCTCCTCGTGTTGAGTGCAGGCAGTGATTGGATTAGGCTGTCTAACATTAACTGAGCTATACAGTTGCACATTTGATCCTTGCTGCCTGGCTGCCCTCTGTAATTCTGTCTCTTTGGGCCTGAGCAGGAACTGTTTGCAGAGTTAAACTCTGTGTTGTGAAAAGGGTTTGTGTTCTTTGTGTTTGTATTGTCATCTTGCCTTCTCCTTCCCCTCTCTTAGTATTTTTCTTTGATGGAAACATGGATGTGTTTCTTTCTGGGAGGAACATCCTTATATGTCATTGCTTATTTAAACAGGGAAAATGCAGAGTCAGATGGGCAGAAAAGTTGAGGAAAGAAATTAGTAAGGAATAGCTTGTGAGGAAGGAAAATTAACACAACAAAAGTTGGGGGGCTGTGGCTACTAGGAGACAGGCTTGTTATCTAGGAATCAAAATCTTTGTTCTCTAGGCATTCAGAAGCACTCTGGCAGAAAATATTTTGTTTAATTTGGTTTTGAATATTGAACTGTAGCAGCAAAACTAAACTTAGATAATAGAGACAGTAGCTGTCACTGAAAAGAGATTTCAGTGGTAGACCTCTTGTTTCACATGGGAGGTAACTTCTTGCAATACGTTATGAAAACTAATCTCAAAACATAGTTATTAACTTTCAGACCTCATTAGCACTTGGACAAACTGAGAATTATTCTTACTGGCGAAGAATTATGATGATATTTAGCTAGCAATTAAAATAAACCTGTAAATGTGCAGTGGATTAACTATGACAGACCCACAGATGACTTCTACATCTTTTGTAAATTTTCAGAAATTTTGTTCTGATCTCTGAGAACATTCCAGCGTAGACAGAAACAAATGGAAGTACTCAGATCACCTCTAGTTTCCTATTTTACACCTATTCCTCTGCAATCACAGTAGAATTTTTGTGTTAAGGCTGTTGTGCTAATTAAGCCTCAAACTTTAATTTTGCCCTTTTTTATTTTCATACCTTCCTGACAAATAAATTTAGTGGAGTTTTAAAAAAAGTTGTGGACTTTTGTACAAATGTCACTAGTGTAGTTTCAGTAAGACTTCCATGCAGAAATAAATGAGGTATCACAAAGGAAGATTATTAAAGGCTGTTTGAAGCATGGGCATCTTTTTGTGTGAGGAAAAAAATTGGCTCATTGCTAGGTCCTGTTGCTCAGAGTAACTGTGGAGACTCTTTAGTGTCTCTCACAGTAGAGCACAGCCTGTGGATTGTTTTCTTTTCTCTGGTATTATGGTCCTGTTGTCTCCTTATTTACTACTGTGAGAGTTTAGCTTCCTAATACACTTGAATCTTACTGAATTGCAAAAGACGCGGAGACAAAAATAGGAAGGCACTGCTATTAGTGTGTTTTTCTTGTATTTGTTGATTGAAGAAAAAGAGCAAAAGTTATGAAATGGATAAGCAGAATTCTAATGTTTTGGGGATTTGTTTGCCTAAAAATCTGAAAAACTATGAACTCATCTCTCTACCTGGATTGTGAATGTGTAGATACCACGCTGTTTGATCCTGTAACAACTCATTTGTAAAATAGTGTATTGCACTGAACGGCACGTGTTGAGTGGGTTATCATAGTGGGGAGATTTAAGGATTAGTCCTGTTTAATTAACTTCAGTAACAATCTGAAATGGAAGGGAATATGAATTTTATTGCAATCCATAGGTGATCCTAAAACTAGCCAAGGTCCAGCACTCAGTGATTTGCTGAGGCCATGTAAGTGGGCCTAGAGGGGTTAGCAGCTGATATCACTTTGTTTTCTGCTGGTCACAACCAAGTGTGAGCTCATCTACCTTGGGGACAATGCTCTGAAAATATTCATAATATGTTCAGCAG